CATCCCAATCACAATGATTATAATTAAGATAATAGATAATGTCAAATGTTGATGAAGACGTAAGGTTTTTTTTTTTACAATTTTTGTAAAATTCTGATAAGAATGTGCATTATTCCAGTAGTACAGAAATCAGTATGGCAGTTCCTCAAAACACTAAAAAAATTAGACCTATAAAGTATTTCAGCTGTATGACATCTTGGTGTATACCCAAAAGAATCAAAGTCAATCTAACATGTCACACACATGTTTATTATAGCACTGTTTATAATATTTAATTTAAGGGGTTAATTTTGCTGCCCATCAATAGATGAATGGAGAAGTAAAATGTAGTAGAGGGCTGGAGAGATGACTCAGCAGTAAAGAGCACTTCACAATCTTTTAGAGGACTAGAAGTCTGGTCTTAGCATCCATATTAGCTAGCTATAACTCCATCTCTGGGGAATCCAGTTTCCTCTTCTGACTTCTGGAGGAACCTGCATTCATGTACACACACACACACACACACACACACACACACACACACACACACACACACACACCATTAATAATAAAATATATCCTTGAAAAAATAAGATATAGCATATATTTACAATAGAGTTCTGTTCAGCCATAAAAAGGAATGAAATGTTGTCCTTTGCAGGAAATTCAATAGAAATTACATCCTGTATGGTGAAATAAGCAAGATTTAGGATGACAAGAGTATTAGACATTTGGTTCTGTTGATAAAATACCTGACAAAGGCAACTTAAGAGAGAAAGTGTTTGTTTGGGCTCATAGTTCTCAGTGTTTACCTCACGGTCTTTTATAGTCACAGGGAAAAGAGCATGAGGCAGCTGCTTATATTATATCTGTACTCGAGAAGCAGAGAAAAATAAATATGTAGGTTTATCTTACCTTTACCTTCTTATTCAGTACAGGACTGTTGTCCATGGAATGGTGCCACTCATATTCTAGGTGTGTCATCACACCTCAATTATCATAATCTAAACAGTCCCTTGTATTCCTACCCAGAGATTTGTGTCCCTGGTGGGGCTAGATCTCATCCCATTGAAAATCCATATTAACCATCACAAAAAGTCTTATATATTTTCTCTCTTATGTGTAATTTAAGGAATAAAAAACGATACTAAAGTTGTGGAGTGTAAACTGTTAGGGATGTAGAAGGATATAAATAGGAGGGAGAGGTATGCACATCCATGTGAAAATACCGCAATGAAACTCATTCACTTGTTAAATTAACATACTCTAATTTAAAAGTAAAACTTTAAGTGGCTGGAGAAATGGTCCAGTGACTAAGAGCACTTACTGCTCTTCCAGAGGACCTGAGTTTGGTTCCCGGGACTCACATGGTGGTTTACAATCTGTAACTCCAGTTCCAGATTAGAGTATGTTAATTTAACAATTAACATAGAGGTGGAAGCAAGCATCAATGGGGTTAGGTGATTTAATGGGATAAAAACATTCTCATTCTGTACCCTGTTGTTTTGTCTTATTGACCGTGTCCTTTGCTCTACAAAAGCTTCTCAGTTTCAGGTGGTCCCATTTATTAATTGTGGATCCGTCCCTGGTGCATGGCTGGCTTCTGGGAATCCGGTGCCTGTGGTGTGACACCTTGCCCAGTCTTGGTGCAGTGGGAAGGGGCTTGGACCTGCCTAGGTTCAGTGTGCCGGTCTCTGCTGATTCCCCATGGGAGACCTCGATTTGAGGGATGTGGGGATGCGGGGTGGCTTGGGAGAGAGGGCTGGGGGGTGGGAGGAGGGAGGAGCTGGGATCTATGGGTGGTATATAGAGTGAGTAGAAATTTTCTTAACAAAGAAAAATGAAAAAAAAATCCTCAAGTCTATGAGCAACTAAACGAAATGGAAGATATTGGCTTGACTTTATCTCTGCACCAAGCTGCATTTACTTACTGACAAGTACATAAATTGCAAAATTATCTCAGATAAACCCTATATACCGGTACCCCTAAATGCACAATGTATGATTAAAACAAATCCATAAAAGAGAAACAGACATACTTAATGTTGTGTTGTCACCAGAGAATTTATCTTGAGGTATCATGGAATGCCTGAAATCATACGGTGTAGGAGGTAGCTTGGCTTTCCAACTAATATTCCCACCTAAAACATTATTTGCCTTTTTTATGTTTTCTCTTCTAAAAAGAAAAATATTTGTGTATATGAAAACGGAAATCCACTCTGGTTTTGCTTCAAAACTTTTAAATTAAGACGAATGTATAAGACTAGGTGTCAGGTATACGCCTGTGTTCCACAAACAAAACAAAAACAAAAACAAAAACAAAAAAAACCCAAAACAACAACAACAAAAAACACCAAAAACAAACAAACAAAAATGCTTTGACCTCTCTCTTTTGTTGGACCAGGGCTGTGCCTTAGAGAGATGTTCAGGTTGTGGTGAAGTGGAAGATAAACACAGACATTTTGCCTGTATTTGAACCTGAATTCTGGGGAAAAGTGGTTTGGAAAACCGCGTGCCATGTTAGAGCATTCAAAACTGGCACTCCGTGGGCAGCAAAAGAAGCCACAGAGCCCTCAGCCTCTCTTTCCTCCCCCCTGCGCGCCCCTTCTCTGAACCAATAGTCTGGAGCGCCACCCACTCTGTCCTTCCCTGTGAAATCCTATAAATCCCGTACCAGGAGAGCTTTGATCTGTGGGAAGAGCCTGACAGCTCGGGAGCTGACGCTCTTTTGCCTCAGCCCTGGATTGGCTGGTCTGAGCTAACTCTCCGTGAGCCACACGTGCAGCTGCTGCATTTCTTAGATGGAAGATTTCGCAAGAATACCAAGTAGTTCAGAAAACACAGCTTGAGAAGCGATCTGAAGATCCAACTCAAATCCTGGACTTTTAATGGGAGGGAGAGCTGTGTCTTCATTGTATCAAAGCCTGGCAGGGTAAAGAAGATTTCTGCAAGGTTGGTAATGGTACTGCCTGCCTACCTAGGAGAGGGACAAGGACCAGGAAGGGAAGGGACACAGCTAAGCTAGATGGAGTTGTGTGGTCTACAGGCAGCATGAGAATGAGTGAAAGCAGTTACTTCAAGGCCACTGTAGGGTGAAAGGAAGCTAGATTTTCTTATCGAAATGTCTGCCTTCTAGGTCTGGAATCCATTGTTTGTCCTCAGACTCCTATGAAGTAATAATTTCGGTTGTGCCCTTTTGTAGATCGAGGGGGATTTTGGAGTGTGAAAGCATTGTAGGCCTGTAGGGGTTTGATCTGTGGCTGTCAGGGGTAGACTGAGAATGTAATATTGAAATTTAGCAAAATGGAGGCATAGTTGGTAAGGTTTCTAGAGTACTTGGCCTCTCTTCCTGTGTGGAACAGGCCTCTTTTCCAGTGTGACCCTTTTAAAGAGAAAATGCTGAGTTAGGTGAAGATGTTGGCTTCTTTATGGTCAAAGGATCTTTGACAAAGGTGTGGGAAAATAAGGGATCCTTCAATATTCCTTAGGAGTAAAATGTAGATGCCGGAGAGATTCAAGTATATTTGATACATTTGATGTCCAAGAAAGATTGAGTGATGATGAGCTCATTTCTACCCTGTTTTAGGTAAACACAAATTTTCTGTGTTTTTCTGTAAATATTCGTATCCAATGGAGATGTTTTTAATATCTCAGTAAAAGTTGGGGTGAGGTGAGGGAAAATTATGAGGTGTTCCCATTCTGAAAATTTTCATTTTATTGAAAGCCAGAGGTAACTGGTGGGAGAGGTCTGTCACACAAGCTCATGGAAAGATGGGAAATGTTAAGTCTCCTGCAGTCTCCAAAGGAAATCCACGGTGTGTGGAAAAGATTTAAGAAAATCTTTGTCTCTGGGGGAAGGTATTTGGTTAATTTGACTGTACTGTTTGGTGGGAAATACACTGTAAAAGGGGGAAAATGGGATTCTTGCACTACCTGAAAGAAAGATTGAGCTTTACAGAAACCTGGAGAGGCTTCATATTATCGAGTGAAAATCAGATGTGCAAAGATTAAGCACATCTCTGTTCTACCCTGGGAGACTCGGTGACTCACTGCACATAAGAGCTCTGATTGTTTACATATTCCTTCGAGAAAATTCGGGAGAGAGATCATGGAGGAAATGAGGAATCCAGTCTGTGAATTAAAAATACGGTTCAAGACTATTTTATCTAGCTGAATATACACAAAAGGGCAGAAAAGAATTTTCTAGAAATAAAATAGCCAAACCTCAAGTGATTTAAATAACTTTTTATTGTACCTGGGAATTTTATGCCAGGAACCTCCTGTTTCTCTCTTCTCATTTTCCTTGTGTTTTCCCCTCTGCTTTCCTTTTTCAAAGAAAAAAAAATGGAACCCTGGAAAATATTCACCACGCGGGGTTTGCAAAAGCTCATGCATAGTTCTTATATCACAAATGTTGTTTGGCACCACTGTAAGTAACACTCAAAGGCAGCTCTCTAAAGATGGACTTTCCCTGATTATTTTTCCCTTTCACCTGCCACCTTCCATCTCCAGATTCAAAGATTCTGCTGTTCTGAAGGCTCCATAGTGTTTGCTTGGTTATGGCTTCACGCAGGTCAAAAAAAAAAAAAAATCTGCAGACCGAGTTACCTTGGGGAAGTGGGAAGCAGGAGATTAGGTATGAAAGAGCTTGAGTAGAGATGTGTATGTTAATTACATTCTGATTGATGAACTGAAATGGGCATATTTAAATTAGTGAGGAGTTTTTTTGGTTTTGTGTTTTAAAAGAGGAATTTACCCCATCAGCAGCAACCACCCCGTCTGGTCTAGTGCCCAGAGTGCTTGTGTCTTGGTAGGGAAGACTAGAGCCGCAGTTACACAGTGGGAATGTGGAAAAATTAACTAGCTCTGATATAGCAGCAGAGGCCACCTGTGCCCCCCCTACATCCCCCTCCATGTGCCCCCCCTCTGTCCCCCTCCCTGTGTGTTGCGGACCCAGACAGCATCTCGTGGTAGAGGCAAAGTCTCGCGCAAAGCTCTGCCAGCCCTCGCGGGGCCCCGCCCCCTATTGCTGAGGGTCACTACCCAGTCCCTACTGACGCGGGGGAGTGCTCACGACTCCTTGCCTGCAGCAGTAGGCTTGCGTGCGCAGAGCCAGAGACACCTCGGGCTCTGAAGTGCGCTGGGACCTGGACGGGCTGGCGGCTAGTCTGCTAGTCAGTCTTCATCTCTCCGCTGCCTGACCAGCACACTGAGGCTGGTAGGCTCCCAGCTTTCCAGTCCTTCTCCGGATAAAACGTTCTAAGGTAAGTCTCAACATTTACAGGAAAGACTGGAGATATCTGGGGGTGAGTTGCTGTCACTGCGTCTGACACCAGGTAAACAGGGAAATGGGCAGACTGCCCATGTAATGGAAGGGTTTGGGGACATAGCATCCCCAAGTCCACGCGCCCAGAGCCCTGAGAGTCCTCAACCTGTTTTTTTTTTTTTTTTTTTTTTTTTCAGAATGCATTTCTTCCACAGGTTATCCTCAAGCGCGAAATACTGAATTCTTAAGAGCTCTGGGTGAATCTCTAGAATTTCCCTCCTGTTTTTGTCTGTTCCTATCAGCAGGGATCCTGGCACTCCTGAAAAGTGAGGATATCTGCTCCAAAACCCTCTGGAAAGCCCTCCTTCCTATTTACCACATCCCATCCATTTCTCAGGCTTCTGGGTGTTTTAGCCCCCCAAACTGTCATGCTTCCACAATGAGATGTTGTTGTTGTTGTTGTGGTGGTGGTGGTGGTGGTTTCTTGCGCGTCAAAGTACATGCAAACTGTAAGCTTGATCTCGCGACTGCCAGCTTCAGAGATGCAGGGTCCTTATTCCCTCCCCAGCCCCCTAGCCTTCCTCCCCACCTCGCTCTCCAGGGAGAAGGTGGGCTGGAAAAGACAGTGGTCAGGGACTAAGTCTCCTGCCACAGAAACCCTTCCCCCACTGGAATCATGTGCTCCATAACTGAGGAGGGGGTCCCAGCATAGGGTAGAGATGAATCAGTGTTCATCATCCTTTCTGTTCGCAAGAAAGAAAAGAGCAAATCTCTGTAATTAGGACTATAGAATCTCAGTCTCCAGGGTGTTACTGGAGGTTGAGGGGTGGTCACCAATAGCAACCACCCTCAGGAGGCTAAGAGGTCTGTGATGACGCAGTTTCTTAAAGCCCCGCCCTCCTGAAATTTGAGGAAGGGGCTGTGGAATGAAATTATATTTTCCTCTTCACTGCCCCCTTCTGACTATTTTGGCTAAAGAGAAGTCTTTCTGGGGAGAAGTAGTTCTTCACAAAATAAATAATCTATGTTTTTAATCCTTTCCCCACTTGATGGTCTAGAAAATGCCAGAAACTGCTTGGAGCTCCCTCCTCCCCCATACTCCCCTGAAACGAAGGGAGGGGCAGGGATTCAAACCTTTAAGGCCCAAAGCCTGGCTCATTTAGATGCTATGTTGGAGTAGCCCTTGCTTAGAGGAGCCACCCACCATAGCCTGACTGCCCCTAGTCAGAAGGGAAATTAGGGGAATAGATATGGTTAAAATGGATCCTTAACCTTAGCATAAGGATTCTCCTTCTTTGCCCCATACCACATTTTTTTGAGACAGGCTCCCACTATGCAGCTCCATCTGGACCTGGTTATTATAGGCCAGGCTGTCCTCAAACTTGCAGTCTTTCTGCTTTAGCCACACCTGTACTGGAGTAACAAGTGGGGAACATTCTGTCTGGTAATATAGTATTTGTGATTTAATTGTGGAGTGTTGAGTATGGAACCCAGTTTTTCAGGCACGCTACGTGTCGCTCAGCTACATCCCCAATTTTCCATAGTAAGTTTTGTGGGGTGGAGAAGGAGACAGAAAGGGGGGGAATCTGTGGCTCCCCCCAAGTATAACCAGCATCACAGACAGCAATACATTATTTGTTCTACACAAACATGTACCAGACACCTTCAACAAAACATACCATACAAGTGCATGTACAGCAGAGAAACTCATCATATAAATACACAGAATGCAAACATACCACAAAAACACACACAGGTGTTGTTTAGAAAATGCACACCATACAAGTCTGCACTGTGGAACCATAATCATGCTACATGTGAGTTCACGTAAGAAACAGAACAGAACATTCTAAAACAAATCAGTCAAACAAAACACATACACACAAATGTCCATGCACCACCTCCATGGACATGAACTAACAGCAAAACACTTCACACACACACACACACACACACACACACACACACACACACACACACTGCACACACACACCGCATGCACACACACACACACAGACCACACTGCACACACACACACCGCACGCACACACACACACACCACACACTGCACACACACACCGCATGCACACACACACACACACCACACACTGCACACACACACACCTCACGCACACACACACACACACACTGCACACACACATACACTGCACAAACAACACACACACACATGCACACCACACACTGCACACACACACACCGCACACCACACACACACACACACACACACACACACACACACACACACACACACGCACTATACCTTTTTCTCCCTTTTGGCCAGAACTTATTTGCTTAAGAACAACAACAAAATGTAGGTTTCCAGTATAAGGAAACCCAAAGATTTTTTTCCATCAAGAAGAAGGTGCTTGAATAGTATACATTTTCTTTCATGCATGCTAATTAAATCTTCTCTACCAGTTTATGAAGTGTATATAATTGCCATTGGATAGGTGGAGAAACCAAGGCAAAAAAATCCTTTTAAGTATATAGTTTTATTTGTGGTTGACACAATGATTATGTATATTTATGGGTATATTACTACATTTTGACAAATGTACACAATGCAAAATTATTGGACTGTGGTAATTGGCATCATTTTATCTCATGAATTTACCATTTCTTTATGTTGAAAATATTCAGGGGTCTTTCTAAAATTTAGAAATACGTAACTAATTTTTGTTAATCATAGTTATTTGCAAGTTAGTCACAGGAGTGGGTAGTACAGAAACGTAAACAAAATCTTGCCTTTAAGTTTACAGTCTCTGATATCCTACTCTTTCTCATGTATGTAAACATGCGCATTATTACATAGGTGTCATCTCCTGCAGTTGGAGACTAGTCACCTATTTAGAAGCCCATTTCTTCTGGCTTGATCTTTTTATTTATGTAAAATTCTCAATACAATTCAGAGCAGTCAAAGACCTACCATTGCTTTCACAAGGCTAGGTAGAAAGGTCAGACGCCCATAACTATACAACTCTATGACAATAATCTAGAGTTACCTATTCTGCTAGACCTCAATAACCCAACTCTAATTAAGCATTAATTACAAAGCAATTAATTAATTGAATGTGTATTAGAAGGCAGTGACTGTTTTAGGTAAGTTTTATACATTATCATGGTAAGAAAACAGGCTGGTATATCTGTCATTCTATGTGGGTGATCTAATTGGTTTCACAGGATTACATCATCTTAGTCAAAATGGGCTAACAAGCCTGCTGGCTTCTTTCTCTTATAAAAAGGTTAAGACCTTAGATCCTGGCTTCTTTGGACTCACTATTCTATAAAATAATAAAGTCTTTGATCCTTTCCATTTCAGGTGGAACCAGGAGCTTCTGTTTGCAAGGATTTGGAAAAGGACTTCATTATCTATATCCTTTCTGGTCTCTTGGGACCTGTTTAGTCCTTCTCCCTAAACAAAAATGAACACTTCTGTCCTGTTACAAATGGAAAGTACCATTGATTGGCTCCAACAAAATGTCAGTTGGGCTCCATTACTTGAGGATGAAAATTGCAATTACACCAGTCTGAATGGAACCAATGTCTCAAGTGCAGAGTGGGGAGGGGCAGCAGGAAGAGTCAGGAAGTGGATAGGGGGCAATCCCCACATCATGGCAAAGATTGTGCTGACATTTGCATATGCTGTCATCATAATGATATCCCTCTTTGGCAACTCCCTGGTATGCCAAGTTTTTGTCAAGCACAAAGAAATCAAGAAATCAACAGGCCTTCTCATCTTCAATCTGGCGATATCTGACATTTTGATAATCCTGCTCAACAGTCCATTTGCTCTGGTGAGTGATTTATATAGAGTTGGTTTCAGTACATAAAAAAGAGGCTGCTCCATTTTAGGGGTGGATGATGGGACTAAGGAAATAAAAGGGAATATGCAAGCATGAGGCCTCCATTCTATACTCTAGCTTCTCTACAGTACTTAAGGACAATATTTTAATAAATAATCTATGCTTTTTTTTTCTATTTTCTCCTTCCTTTCATCCCATAGGCTCGTTTCCTGACTGGACAGTGGGTATTTGGTAGGATTATGTGTCATATCTGTCGTTTTGCTCAGTACTGCTCCCTCCACGTTTCGACTCTTACACTGATGGCAGTTGCCATGGACCGGCACCGGGTAAGACCACTTGAGGACAGTTTTGAATAAAAGAGCAGGGAATGGGAAATAGCCAGGAAGATAAGACATCTTGCAGAAATCTACGGGGAGGAGCCATATTTGAGAATAGAATATGTTTGTGGCCTGGCTCAGATACTTCTCTCCACTATCATACATACTCCTACAGCTGGATGCCATTTTGAATTTCAGAGTTTCAGCACCATATGTTTATTTTAAGCATTCTCTCTTCTCCCTCTAAACTATCTTCAATCCATCTGTGTTCATATCGGATAAGATAAATTAAATTAATAGTCCAAGTAAATTCTTTAATCCAAGCAGAAACTCATCAACCTTTGTCTGATTATGCAAACCACACTGACCTGGGATGATTCAGGAAGTGTTTCTTGTCTTTTGTAGGTAATTCTTCACCCAATGAAACCAAGGCTGACACACTCCCAGAGCTTAACGGTTGTTGCTGTGATCTGGAGCATTGCAGTGTTCCTTGCTCTTCCGCATGCAATTTACCAAAATGTGTTCACTTACATCGGCATGTAAGTCAAACATAATGGATAATTTCACCTTTTTCTCTGTAGAGACTCCCAGGAAATTGACATTTGTAATGTTCTTAACTTCATTTTCTTCTTTTCCCTACTTTCCTTAATAGAATATATGGTGTCATTTTCTAATTCTAATGTGTTAGTGGAACCAAGAGGATGGGCCACCAAGTTAAGATCACTGGCAATGAAGAATCTGGCTGTCTTCAGATTGATCTATACCTAGACTAGGCCAATAAGAGATAACATTTTATTTCATTCCCTTAATTTTAAAATTGAAGAAATTGAGACTTAAAGTTTCAAGTGACTGGAATTTCTTATGGACATACTGTGCAAAGTAGCTACTAGAAGCTTTCTGGGTTCCTTTCAGTTAGTTGTCATAACTTTTGTTCTGCTTTCCTCCAGGGATGGCACCACCAGGAGCTACTGCCTCCCTGCCTTTCCTGGACCGAGCCAGCAGGTTTCGAAGTATGTGGACCTTGGAACATTTGTCTTGCTGTACATCCTGCCACTTCTGGTGATTGTTGTAACCTATTCTCACCTAGGAAAGAGGTTGTGGCTACAAAATGCCATTGGTGATGCCTCTGCTCGTCAACTTATGGCACACTACCAGAAGCGGAAGAAGAGCATCAGGATGCTGATACTTATTGTGTTGGTCTTTGCAGTTTGTTGGTTTCCACTTAATTTCTATGTGGTTCTTATTTCCAATGCAGGCGTCGAAAATGATAGTGTGGTTTTCTATGGCTTTCACTGGTTTGCAATGAGCAGCACTTGCTACAATCCTTTCATCTACTGCTGGCTCAATAGGAGCTTCCGTGCCAAACTAAGATCTATATCATCTTTCAGGATGCAGTCACTGTTTGTATGTAGCAGGTCCCAGGTTCAGGAAATCAAGCCAAAGGAGAGTCTTGAGCTTCGGGAACTCCGGACATCTTCGCTGCTGCGAGTTCCCCTGGCTGTTCCAGAGCCCCAGGTATTTGAGGATCCCAGTTTGGCTACAGGGGATAATTCTCAAGTTTCTGTTCAAGGGGATTGGGAAGATCCAGATCCCTCCATAGATGAAGAGGCAGCAGCAGTAGCAGGGCCCTCAACCCAGGATCCTTACTTTTGCATTCACATGAAGACTACCAGTCACTAAATTGGGCACCCATCTGATCCATTGCAATCTTGCTTAATGAGTACCTTCTCCCAGACAATTCAGTCAGAGATGGGGTAACCTTTAACTTAGATATTGAATACAATGCTTTACTATCGTGTGCACCCTCACAGATCCATCTCTCTGGATCTTTTTATGGTTTTGAGTCTTAGTTCTGGCATCAGAATTCTACTTGAGTCCACTGTACCAAAATGTGGACAACTGACTGTGCCAGACCCTGAAGGAATTTGTTGACTTACTTAGCTTCCTTGCTTTGCAGATAAATGTATGAGAACCACATTTCCTGAATAAGATTCTTTCTTTGCCTCCAGCTTTTACCTGTGATTATTGCTAGTAGTGATAGTGAGATGGAGGAACTGTGAGTGAAAGATGTCTGTGTACAGAATTACTAAGAAGACTACTTGGTAGCCCCTCTCTGCCAATAGGAACACCCTTTTCTTCACTGCCCTTGTGCACCGACTTGGTGCTCTCATGTAAATTACTTTGTGCATCAACTTAGTCTGAGGCAGATACTCATGATAAGGAACAAGAAATACTGGTGAAGGACTCTGGATTTCTATTACCCCATCTTTGTAAATGTGACTCTGTATACTCAGTCTACAGATCTTTGGCTTTAGACTAATTTCCCACGCTTCAGATATCTCATCTTGTCTATAACTGTGGACTTTATCTGGAGGAACTACTTGGAATTTGTATTAGCTAATTTAGCTAATGTATACTGGCATATGTGGTCTCTGATGAATTTATTGACCTTTCCTATCAGAACTGGCCATCTGAGTTGATTATTCACTGACTTTTGGTCATACCTTTATCCTAATACTTTCACAACAAGCAGAGCAGCATCTCCACCCCCCCCCCCAAACTATTCCCTATCAACTATAATTTGTTGCATCTTAACATGACATAATCAAGTGCATACATGCACACACATGCATACATTTTTATGTTAACACAGGTATAAGCTTGTATATATTGCTCCTTGTTACCTCTCATGCTATCCACCTGCCTGGTGCTCTCACTTATTTCTACCTGTAATTTTCATGCTAACTGAGCCTAGACAAGATTTCATGCCTTAAAGTGAAGTCTTGAAGGCTCTGAGAGTGTGGCAACTTTTTGTCTCTGGAATCAGCATTTCGTTATAGTTGGTGCTTCATGTGTTCATTTGATTTGATTTGATTTTTTGGTGTTGTATATCTCCCTGTGAAAATTGTACAGATTCATGACCTAATTTGTGCTCTTATGTGCTAATTCCATTCCTTCGCTATTTCTATGCTTTTCTCTAACCATATCAAGTTATCACTTATGAGTGGCTTTCATTTTATTTTGCTTTCTCATATACTCATTTCAACTCAATTCATTTTAATTAATAATCTATATTCTTTTTTGTTAATTATGTCAGTCTCACACATGGGGTGTGTTACACACTCCTGTTCAGAAGTACACTCATAGAATACAACACTGCTTCTCTCTCCTTCCAACATTTCATCCGGGTGCTCACTTTTCCATATTTGTTTGTTCTGGTGTCTCTAATATTGGATTTTGGTTGCTGCCTTAACCAGAGGTTCACAACTTCTTGTGCTGAGGCTCATCATCTCTTCACTAGTTGAAGCCTCCTCATTTCCGGTGCTTTGTTCCATCGTAGACTTTCGTTTGCTTCCCCTGCTTTGCTTTCTCTCTCTCCCACTCCCCCTCCCTCTCCCCCTCTCTCCTTCCTTCCCTCCCTCCCTCCCTCCCTCCCTCCCTCCCTCCTTCCTTCCTTCCTTCCTTCCTTCCTTCCTTCCTTCCCTCCTCTCCTTGGTGTTGATCTAAGTCTAATACTAATTCATTATTCCTTTTCTACTTTTCCCTGTACACAGATATCCCTCTTTCAGTTTCTTCACTTTTTTTGTCACAGAGATTCCCTTCCTACCCCAGACAAGAGTGAACACGAGAGAACATTCTTGTTCTTGTGTATTATGTTGGCTTAGAAAATCCATCAGAGGGCACCATACACGAGGATATTGAGAAAAGTCTAACAGTTTCCTTGAGATCTCAGCATTCCTTAATGAGATTGTTCTTTCTAGCTGAATTGTTTGCTTATACTTTCATTGTGAATAGTTATAATTTAATATCTGATTATAAATGTAGGCATTAGTATCTGCTTATAAATTTAAGAACTATATCATTGCGAACTGATTTCAGCTAACTTTATGTAGAATACAAATGTATTCATGGCCACAAACTTTACCTTAGGTATGGGACCTTTGGTGATCTAATTGATTTACTTTAGCAGACAGTCAATGGCTCCAAGAAACCTGTTACTGAAAGAAATTTCGCACATATTCAATTTGTGTGATAGAAACAGCATCTGTACAAGTCAAAGCACCTTGTGCTTTGATTTTGATATAAGGCAAGAAGTCTCTAGTGGAAACAAGCCCAAGACTCAGAATACTGGGACACGGATTTTATTTGCTCTGATTCAACTATTTGTGTGACCTTAGGCAAGTCATGTGGCCTTAGTGTGCCCCAGTTTCCTCATCTATAAACGGTGGTTAATAATACCTTATAGGGCTATTGTAAGAGTTATCTGTGATAACAGGTATTATTGTTGTTAATAGGCTCATTTTCCTGTTACCCACCTTGTGATTATTGCTGTTAATATTACTCTAATTGTAAATGTTACTATTGTTATTGTTAAATATTGTTAAATTAATGTTGCTGTGCTCCCCTTGAAGTGCTGACCTGTATACAACTAAGAAGGCTATGCAGGTATTTATGAAAATACTACTTGATATATCTCACTGGGGAAAAAGGAAAGCTTCTACTGCCTGTTTAGATTACTTGAAACTAGGTTGGACAGAATACTGCTGAGAGGAAAAAGATTTCCAGAGCAGAGACGGAGACAGTAGCTGAACTCTAGACAACTGAACAAAAGAAGTACGTGCCAAGTAATAAGCAGATGGATAATTTTGAGTTAGTCTCTCAAGTAGGTTTTTCAGAACTTTAGTATTTCTGCTCTGAGAAGAGCGGCAGATAAGGAATCAAAGGACAAAACTTGAAAGAGGTGAAGTGTTTACAAAGTATAGAAATGACACAGGGTTTCTATTCTGAATTGTCATCTCTTTTCTAAGAACTCCCTTTATTTATGATTCAATGTAATTCTCAATAATTGTATTACATATTTATATTTGTTAATGTTTTAGATATCATAGTAATATATTAAGTGTAATAGTGCTCATTACGGTGCTCTTCTGAAGTGTGCTTAATGTGTTTTATGGTGTTACATTTAACCATTTTCCTGCCAAAATAGTTCGCAAACAAACTGCAAAAAAATAGAAAAAAAAATCCCCAAGTTTTATTTATGTGTGCTTGTTTATATGGAACACTGAAATTCCCAAAAGAATGAATATCGACATTGGACTTTGGAACAATGTATTACCCTTGTATGTATCCAAAACAGGCTACAGTTGAGGGAAACCCCTCACCTAGACAGAGCAACTGCTTCAGAAATTGTTCTGCTTGACAACCAGGAAGAGTGAATTCTGAAGTTTGGGAGCTCCAGGCTGTACTCAGATGAACTGTTCAAAAGGGGAGAGGGTCAAATTAAGGGTTTAGAGTTGTCTGACTGTAATTATCGTGTGTCAGCTGGCTTTTGTACTTAAGTATATTTTGACTGGAATAATTTTTCAAGTGTTTGAAACTACACACCTTTGTGAATCCTTTGCGACTCTGTATATGCTTAATTAAAAATAAATAAAGCTGAAGATAATGAAAATTGTTTCTTCCTTAATGCAGACCCCCTGTACTATTTTAAGCTCCAAAAGAATAACTCAGTAGCCAGTAGCCTAAAAAGGACATATTGACTTTAGAAGTAACAGCCTGTGAATTAAACTTGATTAAACAGAACCTCTACCTGGCATGGCCATATCGTTACAGCAGAAACAAACGTGTGGAATTAAAAGTGCTCTAGGGGCTGTAGTTTCTCCAACTATTGGTCTCAGTAAAGGGTGAGCTCCCAAAAGGTGGGGGGAGGAGAATAAAGGATATCATAAAGGAAATGGTCAGGGGCAAGTGACACGGCAGTTATAGATAATGATTATACTTATGTACCTTTCTAAATATAACACCGTTAGTCCTTGTTGAGAAGTGACCACACGGAAGGGAAATGTGAGGGAAATTGACTGGTCACTAGGATAAAGTGAGGTGGCATAATAGAATTGTGGATAAATTGGCAGGTTCAAAGTAGTGTCTGAGTGACTGAATACAGTTAAGGAAAGGAGGACTGGGGTTGTTGTATCAATGGGCCAAGCTGCTGCTGTCAGCTCCTGGATCTCTGACCATCATTTGCTTTGCACAAGAGTGACCTCCCATAAAGCAGTGCTGCAGCTGCTGGAACTGTATCACCCATAGCTTTCCTATAGATTAGGCCAGTGATCTGCCCACAGGACAGGCACTGCCAATTAGCTTCTCCCATGTTTAGACCCCCGGTAACCACCACTACTGTTTATACTTCCACTGTCCCAGCTGCCACTATTGCAGCCACCCCACTGATTGGTATTGTTTCTGTCAGTGAAAGAGCCTCAGAGAAAAAGTAATAAGGCTGTTGAAAGCAAACATGGAGAGTATACATGAACATTGCAATCAAGCAAATGTAAGTACTTAAAATGTGGATAGAGCACCAGTGAGGTATCAAATAATGGTTCCCTCAAACTCCAGTTTAAGTTTGTCAGACCAATGCATTATCTTGGTTTAGAGAACACAAGCAAGGGGTTACAGTACTTAGGTGTGTATGACCCCAAGCAGCTGCATCACCACAAAGTCCCAGCCCATCACTAATGACAATCTTACAGAAGCTGAATCATGAAGCCCCCTCCTTATAGTTATCCTTTTCCACTTCCTATATACCACCACAGCACCTTCCAAGACCACTAGTAGCTAGGCAAGTAGTAGCTGGCATATGTATGGGCTGGACCTCCATGAGGATCTCATGCCCTCTCTTCTACTCAATATTGTCAATAGCTCCACTATTGTTGCCATAAACCTAGTTATAGCCATTGTTTTGCTCAATTATGTGCCATGGATACCTGGCCAAGATATGTCTATGTAAGATGGCATCACATTATGTCTGAAAGGATATGGCCCATACTTCAATGCATCCCTATCCTCAAGCTCTTACATTCCTTTAATCCCCTCTTCTGCTGCGTTCCTTGATCCTTGGAATGTGTGGCATGTCCATGATCCTTTGTGGAGCATTGGGAATCCATGGCACCTCAATGGTCACTTATTCTCAATGGTTTAACTAGCTATTATTCCTTCTAATAGCAAATACCACTCAATGTAAGAAGTTCTCCACCAAACAGACTGAACCAGTACTCTATGAGCATAAATATAGATGTTCCAAAGGAAGTTTGACAGGCATATCACATCTATTAAATAAAAACAAATAGAAGTTGCTTCCCTACTGGGGCTTTCTCAGTTATGCATTTCTAGCCTGGCTTATAGTATTCAATGTGAATTCTGTCTGCTGGTGAGACCCCACCTTCAAACAGAAAGTTGTAGGTTGTTCTCATAACATTTCATGACACTGTTGCACCAGCTGGCACACCTTGCCATGGGGGATATTCCATTTCAGTAGCATGGCATGCAGATAAGCTTGATTAGGAATGTTGATAACAGTCCTCTTCCAAGCAGCCTCCATTTTCCCTTCTGTTACAATTATAGCCAGCCATTCGCTAGGCAGCTTAGAGCTTATTCTCAGCCTGATTTCTTTATGTCCTGAAACCAAAGTGTATGGCATCCTCAGCAATAGTGGCTTACTATGTAGTGTTGGCATACAACAAACAGAGATGGTAATAGCCTTTATCATTTTGAGGTTCTCTGTGGATTGTCTGGCCAACAATCCATAGGAAGGTAGTCCACTGCTGACACTATGATCTTTATTTAACCTTATGATCTCTAGGAGTGCTGAAAAGGCATCCGTACAGGATACCTTCATCCACATTTTTAATCTGCTGTTTTATTGTTTTTCCCGAAAATTTTCTAGAACTATGTTAGAGTTTCTACTGCTGTAATAAAAAACAAACAAACAAACAAGCAAGCAAGCAAACAAACATGACAAAAAAGCATCGGGGGAGGAAAGGATTATTTCGGCTTCCAGTTCCAAATCACAGTCTATCATCGAAGGAAGTTGGGGCAGAAGACCAAGGCAGCAATTTATGCAGAGGCCGTGAAGGAAGTACTGTTTAATAGCTTGCTCTCCATACCTCATGAATACCTACCCGGGGGTGGCACCACCAGCAATGAGTTAGGGCCTCATAAATCAATCACTAATTAAGAAAATTTCCCTAAAGGCTTGCTTATAGGCCAATTTTACACAGGAATTTTCTCAACTGTGGTTCTCTCAGATAACTCTAAATTGTGTCAAGTCATTAATAAACTAGCCTGGACAGTCTCTAAGAATTTCAGAGGTTAGCATTATATTATATGTGTAAAACCCTTACAACAAGATCTCTGAAAGCTCTCCACCAACCATTCAAAGTATCATTTGATCTTAGGAGTCAGTAGCTAAGGATGTATTAAAGAAAAATGTTAGCAAAATCTAATACAGAATGAAGGGACTCCACTGTTTATATCATTTTTTTTCTCAAAAGGTCACACTAGTTACTGTGGCATGGATGGGGGATACTACCTTATTTAGGTCGCTGACTCTATGATCATCACCCGTGTACCACTTCTTATGGTGATATTTTATTTGTATTAAAATGTTATTTGTATGTTAATAAATAAAGTTGCCCGGGGGTCAGAGCTATTAGCAAGCCATAGGACAGCAGGGCAGTGGTGGCATACGCTTGTTATCCCAGCACTTGGTAGGCAAAGCTGGGTAAGTCTCTGTGTGTTCAGGGATATAGCCATTATTGGATACACATGCCTTTAATCTCAATACCAATCATGGAAAACCTGAAGGCCTATACAGACAGGCCGTGAGGAGGCGGTCATGTGGTTGGGTTTACAACCAATGAGAAGGCAGGACAGGAACTCTATATAAAGACTTTAACACAGGGGTAGCTCTGGTTCGGAGAGGTAGGACCACTGCAGGAGGAAGGGTAAGGTTTTAGCTCTTAGCTCTGACCTCTTGGCTTTCTTCTTTGCATTGGTTCTGTGTTTCTTATTTAATAAGAAGGTTGGTTACATCTACAACTTCTCTTCATCCTGAGGTACTGCAATGGAGCCTCCATTCATTTTCTCTGTGCTCAAATGAGTTTTGAGGAACTAGCTCAACCCACTCTAACAAGATCAGGGCCAGGAAGATGTAGGGCCGTGCTCAAACCTATTGTGATTGATATTCAACATGGGTCTGTGGGGGCTGATAGGCTCTAGAACAACACTATGAAGGCAGTTGTTATTTAACCACAAGCCACATGTAGATGCTAAGAGGGCCCTAGGTATGGTGAACAGTATCAATGCTATCACATGCTTTCTGTAGGAGAGAAGTGCATGAGGTTTATTCTGTGGATAACTGCTTGCCCCTAGGATAAGTGTGGTCTTTTTCATTTTTACGACATTATCATTTTTGCCTCCCATCAACTCTTTTGGCTTTAAAACCTTCTAAAAGCTCACTAGCACATTTGACTTTCTATCATTTTTCCCTTAAGAACTCTAGCTCAACATAAATCTTGCTACATATTCCTTTGAGTGACTCAAACAGATCAGATCCATTTGTCTGCTTTGCCTGTCTCTCATCTCTAGATTTCCTTAGCACTCTGCAGTTTTTATTCACATAGCAGACCAAATTTACATGTCATTCTAAGTCATTTAGACCAAACAAAGTCTCTATCACTGCATAAAGACCATGCCCCAACATGAATCTCAGTATTTATAACCCCATTCCAGTCCCAGTGTCCCAAATGAAATAATTTGTTTCTTAATTATGTGGTAAACACAGTCTTATTGGGCCCAGTGAACTGAGTGTCAAATTACCCTAGTAGTGCTTGTAGCTTCTCTATTGTCTTTCATTCCCTAAAATACATTGAGACCCCACACTGTGATAACCATGTGTCCCCGTTGGATCATGTGAACCAGGACATCAGGGACTGATTTACCTTAAATTGCTACAGGTTATAAAACTTTTGTTTAAAGGAGGAATGAATGGTTACACTACTCTGTTTCTTGGCTTTACAGCAAGCACTCAGACTGATTCCATCTGCATCCATGTCTTATAGACCCACAAATAAAGCTATGAAAGTTTCCTTCACTTCTTGCTTCTCAATTCAAGGACTTCAGAGATAGAATAGTCCCTGAGTATAATGGTTTTCTACATCATGTCATTATTAAAACCACCATCTCTACACTGAATCAAGAACATTTTTCCTTGGTCTATATTAATGGTTAGACCTGAGAGGTATCTTCTAACATTCTTACATTGTTTAGGCTCCTTTCTGTATCTAACTCTTCCCATGGGTTTCAACCTTTTGGATCCCACTATTTTCTCTTTCACACAGATATAATTTATACACTTTTTATTTTTGGATCACCAGATGTAAGAAGTGACAAACTAAACTTCATCCCATCTTCCCTTTTATCAGTAATCAAAACAACAACAACAAAAACTCAGTTAATGTGGAGAAATTAGTGTCATGTCCTTTTTCATGTAATGCCGCCTCTATACAAGAAATCTTCCCCTTGACAGACATCAGTGCTTGTCTTATTACTCATAGCACTGGCCACATAGCCATCACAAAGGTTTTCTTCAACAATCTTGTCATAACTATCCTATTC